TATTTATCAATATACCCATGGACTATTGACATTTTAGATTATTTTTAAAGATGTACCAAATTTTTAAAGAGTACAGATACTAATATTGTCGATATAATTCGTTTATTTCATTAAAAAATAAAAAAAAACTGTTTAAATATTTGTTAAAGAGGATCAGTTAATATGATTCCAGTATTCAAACAACATTAACTGACTGTTTGCTTTGATTAATAATAATTGCTCCAAATACTAAAAAACTGAATTTTGTATGGGCATTAGACAGTGTGATAAAAAGTAACACCTTAAAAATGATATTTCATTTTTTAATAAATGCTTATTTATAACTACAGAGACTTTAATTTGATAACTTATTATTATATTGATTTCTGACTCAAATCCACATTTATTTATAATAATTTAATAACGAACACAATTAAGTATGTAATTAATTAGTATATGGGCGCAAATAATGGTGTTATATTTAATTAATGGTATACTCTTTTATAAAGATTTAAATAGTTTTCTTTTTGCATACAAATGGGCTAGTAATATTATCGTTTTGCTAAAAACGATAATATTACTAGTCTGTACATTTTGTACATTTGTTGCTTTAAAAACAATCTAAAATGTCAATATTCCATTGATATATTGATAAATGAGGTCTAAATTATAAGAAAATGCATTTTATACGAAAACTTGAAGGGATAGGTAAAAAATGGTATAATACAATTTGATAGACAATTTAATTGTGCATCTGATTCTCCTAAAATATACAGGGCATTCATTTAAATTAAAGAAGTTATTGCCGTTTGAAGCTAATAATTATTTAAAATAAATTTTTAGACACTGTATAAGGTAGTATTATTTTTATTATTGCAACACAATAACTGATCAATAAATAAACTTCATTAAATATTTAGTATTAAAAACATTAATACCCTTGGAGAAATGAAGCTTTAAAATTTTTACTGCAATTTCACAAAATTGAAAATATTTCAAAAACGGTAAGGTTTAAGTGTAATAAACCTTAATCAAATTTACCTTTATTTTAATCGTAGAAACTAAAAATGTAATAATATACAGGGTGTTCCATTTAAAAAAATCAAACTTTGAGATTTTTTATTTATTTGGGACACTCTGTATATTGTAAAAATATTTTTGAATTGTAGCTCTAATAGTCCTTCAACGAACCCCAAACTTACAATTTGTAAAAATCTCATCGTTTAGCTACAATACTCCGTGTCGTATGTGGTGAACAACCCTGTATAGTCTTACTTGCGTTTCAAGCCGTGCTTTGTTTTTAAAAGTTTTTGCGATAGTTCCACATACTGACTGGAATTTTTTTTTTCATGTAATTATCTTTACCATAAGTTACGTCGCAACCCAAGAAGCTGAAGTGCGATATTTGCTGTGGTGGTTTATTTCTTAAAACTATTATTGTGTGGATTCCGTCTTTGCCTCAGTGTGCCATCACTTTTGTTTTTCCTGTCGATATTTTTCCATCATATTTTGTTATTATCTTGTCTAGGAGATGAACCTGCCTTTGTAAGGTATCACTTGGTCGTCTGCAAACAGTAGAATATTCAGAAAATATCGGTCTATTTGGATGCCTCTTGGTGCTATTTCTTTCCATTCTTTTATAACTTGGTCCACATATATATTAAAAAGTGTAAGGAAAAGCGTGTATCCTTGTCTTGAACCTCTATTAACTTCTATTGTATTATCCCCTTTCACCATCTTAATATAAGTTCTGTGATAACAGCTCTTTGTTAGGACAATTTTTTAACTGTTTTGAAGAGTAATAACTTTTCGTGCGTCTCTGTATTACACTACTAAATGAAAAAATATATATTTTTGTCCTTCTCTACGTAAAAAATGTCTCTTGGTAATAATCGCTGCGAGCAACCGTTCTCGAGATATTTGGATTCTTAATAATCAATACATGTTACCAATAACAAAAATTAAAGATTTTCACTAGAAAGATATTTGACTGAAGTAATAATTTTCGAGATATTTTAGTATCACAAGTTCAACTAAAGCTGTTTTAAAACCTAACTGTAAATTTTCTAGAAAATGTTCGATTTTAGAAAAGTCGTATTTAGGTTAAAACAAGCAGTTTTTTTAGAGAAAAATATATATTTTTGAAAAATTACGAAATTTCGAGAAAATTGACAGTTAGGTTTTAAAACAGCTTCTGTTGAGCGTTTGGTATCAGAACGCTTCGAAAATTATTAATTTTCTCAAATATCTATCTACTGACCAAGTTTAATTTTTGTCATTGATGGCATGTATTGATTATTAAGAATCCAGATATCTTGAGAACAGTTGCTCGTTTTTTACCAAGAGACATTTTTTACGTAAAATAAGGCGTAAAGGTATATTTTTTCACTCCGTAGTTTTATACAGGGAGGGACAAAAAGGTATTACTCATAGAATAACTAACTGAAAGAAATGAAAACTCCTATGTTAAAGCCTGGAAACACGCGCTCGACGCGATCCAAGTCGGACTGGCAGAACTAAAAGTTCGCGCCATATTTTTAAATGGACCTTTACTGCCAGTTCATAAGTTTTTTACTTATATTTGGTAATTTCAATCTAGATTATGAACTTATTTGTAACAAAACATTTTACAAAATAAAAATAATGTATTTTGATACAAATAAATTAATAATCTAGGTTGAAATTATCCCTGAAATTAGAATAAAAACGAAAAATTTGTAACTTGATTATTTTATTATAACATTGTTAATAAAATTACATATAACACATTCAACACTATACAAGTATATATAAAAGTTATCAGAATTTATACAATCAGTTATAAGTAATTATAAAAAAGGTTATAAATTATAAATAAATAATTCATTATATAAAAGACATATAGTTACCGTGAATATAATTTGGTATAACTTTAATCTCAACTTTAATGACCTATTCAAATAGAAACATCTTACAATTCACATTATATAATACACAAAGCCAAGGGACAAAATTGTTATTAAATCTATTCTCGATGACTCGAAGCATTTTTTTTTCAAATAAAACAGGACATATAGGGCTTATAAATAATACAAGGGTATAGAAAATATATAAATAAGTAAATACAAATATATTTTCAACCTAATGATTAATGATTATACTCGTTTAAATAAATAAATGATCTTTTTAAAATTACTTGTTTGTCTTTGCAAATTTGTATATTTAATATTTATCTAAAAGCGTACACTTACATAAATTACTGCACAACCTTTAAAATTAAGCTTTTAATATGTTATACAAATTCTTGATTCGATATAAATACACTTAAATAAAACTTTAAAATTAATGATCTTCCAAATTTCTGAGACAGCCATTTTGTTGAAAGAATTTGTTTTGATTATGAGAAATTTCATAAAAATTATCACAGGGATTAATTAATCTTATATATTAAACTACTTGGCTTTTAAATTTCACAATCCTATCGTCCAAAATACTCTAAATTCGCAAAAATCCGTAAAATATTCCCATAAAAACAAATCACAATTCATTTCCACTTCACAGAAACTGACAGACATTGCCAAATATGGAATGACGTTTATTTTTCAATTTATTTTACTGATCTAACTGATCCGGGTCACTTAGAAATTAAATTTTTATTAAATTATTTAATTATAATTGTTTCTGGCGAAAGCAATTTCATATCAATGTTTATTCATAGCGTAACAAAGCCACATCACTGTTAAATTATCAACATTTTATATAAATATTTATATTTTTCAACTACTCCAACTACTCCAATTACTCCACAGAGAATCAAACGAATTGGTAATTAAACTATACTCTGTGGATGACTTGATAAAATCATGATGAAATTAAAGTCCCTAGATGAATATCTAGGGACTTTAGATGAAATTTCTACGCAGCGCCATCTATCTCTCTACTGGCAGAAACTCCGCCGTGTTTCCAAAATTCAAATGGCAGTTTCATCCGCCTGGTATCTTCAAATCAGTATAAAAACATGTAGGTGGCGCCACTACAAATATGGACATTAGTTCAAAAATTATTTAAAAATAAAATAAAAAACATTATTTATACGAACTTTTTTACTTATTTTTATGTGCAAAATATGCTACCGAAGTTTCCGGAATACAGTTTGGACCACCCTGTATAAATAAGTTCAGTAATCCAAGAAAAAACAATGCTAGTCCAAGAAGATTTAATTTCCTGTAAACTTTACGTTTAAATAGAAATTAATTAATGTTATTAAAATGCTGTGTGCAGCTGTAAAATGGTTACCAAGATCGCACAAATCAATTAAATGCAGCTGTTAATCCTCCTCTGGAATTTATAGTTAATAATCAATCTCGACTGCTAAACTTCGAGCATGGAGATTAAACATTGACTTTCGAGTCTCTCTCAAGATGAATATCTTACCTCCTATGGTGCTAAAACTTAAGTTTTAAGCATGATACAACAAACTTAACGTAATACTAAACAAACTCAATTAAACTTAAATCTAATGCAGATAATTATAACCTAAGGATATTTTAATTGCAAAGATTATCAATAAATCTTTAACAATTAGAGTTTAGCTGTTAAATTGAAAATCAACATTTCTAATTTTGGAGTTTTTTCCCAGTAGAAAAGAAATCTACAAAATAAAAAAGTAATTTGAACAGAACATACAAAAAAAAAGAACAGAGAAAAAAAAGAAAAATATTTTTTATTAAAACCATTTTGAAGCCTATTATAAGAAGGATATATTACTAGCCACTATTCAACTTTTCAGAAACATCATGCTTATCATCCTAACCCCACAAAACCCGAATTCACCAAACCACCAAAACTACCGCGTTCCCATTTAACAAGACTATGATTCCGGGTGCGTTCCATAATTCGCTCTCACCATTATGAAGCCTCCCATCTTAGCTATGCTTCTGTTCGCCCTACTCTCATCGCAAACGTCAAGCACAGGCCTGGACTTGTTCTCGTTCAAGAGTCACCATCACCGGATCAAAGATGGCGCGTCTGGCGGTACAAATTCGGAAAAGGAACAGTTGAACATGGGGTTGATTTTGCCCCATACGAATTTCGGGGTGCGGGAGTACACTAAGGCGATTAACACTGCTTTATCGCTGCTGCATAGGGGTAGGGGCAGAAACTTGAACTGGGTTAAGGAGAGGAACTTCAATCCGAAGAATATTCATAATGTTTTGATGACGCTGACGCCGAGTCCTACCGGTAAGTATTATTATTTATTATACAGGTTGTCAAAAAATAGTGTATTTCTGCGACAGAAATTACCCTTTCAGTGGTGTTACAAACTTTTAAATTATTGCCATTCGCTTTGGCAATGAAATGTGGGTAAGAATACTAAATTCGGAGAAAAGTTGTTTACCTTTAATAAATACATTATTTTGGCCACTCTGGATACAGATATATAGATATATATTATTATTGAAGGATTTTAGTGAGTGGTATTGATGCAACAATATATAATTGTCGATCAAAAAATTTTAGCAAAATTTCTTTTAATTCATTGACGTCAATTCATTGACTTTCCTTTTGTTTTTTTTATTTTTTTTGGAAATAAACAGTGACATGAGATAAATAATTATTTTCCTTTTTAGTTAATCAAAACAAAACCTTATTATTATTTTCTAATAATTCAAAGTTGTCTACATATACCTTTCTGTCGGAAAGTATATAAAAATAAAATACATTTAACAATGTGGAAGAGATAATAAATGAATGATTATATTTTTATTAAAATTTTCCTGGTACAATGGAACATTTTCTGCACAAAGCAAAAAATTAAAATAATTTATTTTCAGTTATTTTATTAATATAATGTTTTGTATTTAAAACAAATAAATAATTTTAAAGAGGTATAATGCATATTAGGTTGTGCATATTACTGGCTTTTCAACAAAATTGCTTTTGTTACTTTTCTGTCTGGCTCTATTCTATATTTTAATATTTATTAACAAATTTTAAAACAATGCAATTAATGTAGAAATTAACTTTACTTGCAGCAAAATGGTGATGAAAATAGTATTATAAAAATACATTATTTCTATTAATTTAAACGCAAAAATATAATTACTTTCTTAACATTTTCGAAAAAAAAAAATAAAAAGAGAAAAAAAGACAAAAAAATCACAAAAATAAAAAACTGAATTAAAGTTAAAAAGTATTAAATTTAATCAAGAATCATCATTCCTATTATGTACAGACAGCTGTAAATTGAAATTGGGAAGGTAGAGCGTACATTTCTTTCGAACAAAATTATTCCCGTTTTGCTGGTGACATTTGACGTTGACGTTCAGTCCCTCGGGACCCGGTCAAGAGTTGGACGAGTTTCTAATAGGATATTGTTTGGCCACGATGCTTTGGCAATGGCAAGGCTCGTATTTGATTGATAAATTTGTATTTCGGTGATTAAAAAAAATATTTTTTTATGTTTTTCTCTGTTTGATTAAGGCGCATCACAGAAAATTCGGTGAATTTTTTTTTTCTGTGTTTGTTATGTCAAATTATGTGTTAAAATTCTCTGTAACGTTAAATATGTATCAAAATTAAATTAGAATATTTTCAAATCCGCATTTTTTCTTATTTAAAATTTAATCATCTTTTAAATCGTGCTGTATTTACTTTTTAATCGTTACTTTTTGATAAAAAAAATAAAAATGCAAAAATCGGGTGGCTGGATATGATGACATTTTCCACTGAATAGGCTACAACAGTTATTAAAGATATAAAAGTAAGAAATAAAAATTCCAAGCTATTAAAAACTATAAATATAAAAAAGAAGAAAAATATTGATAAGGGATATACAGGGTATCCCAGGCTGAGCGTGCATAACAAGTTTATAGAGAACTACAACATCTAGATCGGAGATTTTTTGCACATTATAGTTTCAGAACGAGATCTATCGATTAAAAATATTTTCAATATGGCGGCACTTCCGGAAATATCGGAAGTTGACAGCAACTTTCTTGTTTTAAATGGGTACCATCATTTTTATTACATATTTTTATTAGATATAAGTTACGAATTAAAAAACCTTTCACTAGTGAAATAAAAAAAGTGGGTTTATGATAATTTTTTTATCGCCCAATTCCATGAAAGCTACCGCCATTATTATATGACATTTGAATAATTTCATTTTTGAAATACCGTATGATTGAATAAAAACGGCGTCAGCGATGGCTATGAAATGAAGATCGCTGTCATTTTATATGTAAATTTATATGGGAAATATCATCGATCGTCATTTCCAAGCCAACTGGACGCCGTTTTTATTCGATCATACGGTAGATAGCCATAAGTCTTCTCTTTATGTCCCAGTGGCTGTGGTAATCATTAAATTTGACTTTTAGGCTATACAAATTTTTTTGACAGGTAGTTTTTTCCTCCAAAAATTTTTTTTTTTTCTCAGAAACGGGTAGTTAGGTATAGAGCGTTTAACATTAATATTCATAGAATTTTACAGAGAATTTAAGTATGTAATTAAAAATGGGGGCGCCTAATTAAAATTGCTGTCAACTTCCGGTATTTCCGGAAGTGCCGCCATATTGAAAATAATTTTAACCGATAGATCTCGTTGTAAAACAATGATGTGCAAAAAATCACCTTTCTTGATATTGTGGTTCTCTAGAAACTTCTAATGCACGCTCAGCCTGGGACACCCTGTATAATATTGATAAGTATAATATTGAAAAGTGAGTCTCAACATAAATTTAGCAAAAACTAAAGCAATGTACAACGAACTAGTGGAAAGAAAAGACATTCTAACAAATAACACAACACTGGAAATAGTAAAAGAATATATACAGGGTGTCCCAGAAATAAGTGCAAGTATTTTAACTGGTAGTATAGTTCAACCCCTAAACTAACCGAACCAAACCAAACAGGCCTAGTAGGTTTTTTTCGCGAATTTTTTTTTTGAATTCGAAATTTTTTGTAAAATTTTTGGGATTTTTTTTAGTTTTTAGTTAAAAAATATAATTTCTTGATAATATGGCAACATAAGTATTAGATTAAATTTACAAGAAAGAAAATCCAGAAAAGATCCAGTGGTTCTCAAAATTTTAGCAAAAAATTATTTTTGTTTTGGAAATTTTCAAAGTAAAATAACTCCGTTATTTTAGACTTATTTGAAAAACGATGAAGAGAAAATATGTTTCTTTTATCGAGATCTACCACCCCCTAAAATACTTGCGCTTATTTCTGGGACACCCTATATATTTGGGACAAAACATTGTAGCACTGCTCTTGGTGAATTTTGAAGAAGCATAATTTTTTGGCTCTAATAAACTGATAAAAAAAGACGTTTCTTATACAAACTTTGTATAAAAACAAACTTTCGAAATTGACAATATTAAAAAAAAATTATCAAAATAATAAATAAGAAAACAGCTAAATTAACGTATAGTATGCTTTAGAAAACTTTTCGAAAAGTGCCGTAGGTATTTCATTTTGCAAGAAAAGCAACATTTTGAATTTGAAGTTTTCCGCTTAGACAAATGGTACATGTTTTAGTGAAAAGCGTCTAAAGCATACAAGGAAGAAAATAAAGTTTTCTTCCTTGGGTTAAATGTATAAACTTACCCGTAACGAAAACTCTGTTTTAGAAAATTGCTAAATTTACTTGGCATTCATTTTAAACTAAACGTCTACTATATACAAAGTTTTGCAAAGACAATTTAAGCGTTTAGGTAAAAGTATGTCTTTTCTAAAAGAATTCCAATTTAGGAAGACATACGTATCAATAATACAAGGTGTTTCCAAATTAATATGTTTCCAATATGCCACTACCACAGTTTCAGATCCATTTTGGTTCTTTTGTGATCCCTAGTATCTATTTTAATTCTATCCTTTTCAAAAAGTCTAATATGGTTTGTGGCTTCATGTGACTGCTTTGGCAACGCCACAGAAGGGCTCTGTGTTTATGAATTGCATCGAAGAGGGAGGAGTTATGTAAAAAATTACCATATTTTAACTACAAATTCAAAGAAGAAGCTACGAAATATTTAAATAGTTGAGTTAAACCTGATACTTGCTCGAGACTCAATTTTAGAGTTTAGAGGTAAACAAACAAAAAAATAAGTGACAACATATATCTCTACTCTTGTATTTTGTTAAAAATAGCTTCAAAAGAAGTACAGTGCTGGTTTGCTGTGTGCAAAGACAGTAGAAGGAGGTAAGTAAGAATATACGGTCATTGATGGATTCAAGTAACTACAAAGTGAGTTTTAATAGCATTGTTGAAGCATTCAGTCAATTTCTTGTCGAAGTCATGCATATTTTTACAGATTTTGCGTTGCTAAGTTCCAAAATGATTGCTCAGTGTTTCAAATTTCATGATTACTTTGAAACCCATTATAAATTTATGTTTGTTTGACTAGGAGAAATGCTAGTGAAAAATCTGCAGAATCTAACATAACAAAACTTTTTTTGCTTCCAAAGAGCGTTCGATAATATAAAAAAAGCTCCTTAAAATATGTCCTTATAGTTCATACCAATTAAACTTATATTGTCCTATTGCTGCCAAAAGTCATTAACTAACATTTTTCCGAATAACCTGAAAATCTAATTACTAACTATATTTTGAAGCGGAGAATCGATTGAAAAAATCATTAACTACGATTTCTGGCTATTTATGCTGTATTTTAATACCGAATAGTCTCTAACAACTTTATGCAATGTAATTAACATTCAGACACGTTTTTCTATGAGTTTTTCTTGGAAGTAATAAAAAGTAAGTTAGTGGCTTTTGGCAGCAATAGGACAATATTTTATTTTAATCAAAATATTTTAAGAAAAAAAAAATAAATGAATTATAAATAAATAAACAGTTATTATTTACATCAACAAAACTCACCTCCTTAAGTGACATAAAGGGCCATTACTACCGCTTTCCCGTTCAAAATATTCTAATAAAGTTGTGATGAGTTTTTTGCAGCGCCTATTAAGCTATCTTTTCATACGAAAAGAGGTTCTAAAAAGAACAATGTTCGACTGCAAGGTCTGCTAGTAAAAAATTTTAAGCTTAGAGCACGGCATATAAATCACACGGCAGGCTAACTCTCTTTGGCGGGAACGCTACGCGCATACCGTCGCGCACGCCGCCATTAGGGTTTCCAACAACAGAAAGTAACCAGTGTCGTAGTTTCTTTCATCGACTGCGCACACTTTCGGCTGATTCGAGTCAGTAGCGTACGGATTAATTTATTTTG